TTGTAGTAGTGTTCCTTTGAATAATGAATTTTATTACTGTTTTGAAAAGTGAACATTTTAGGGGGGAGGGGGGCAATGAGTATTTTTTATTGGTAGTGTAATAGATCGTAGCTTGTATCACAATAGCAAAAATGTGCGAAAGAATTTTTGTTTTTCATTAATTCATGTATACGTTTGCTGCCCTCGTGGTCAAATTAGTTGTTGGTAATTTAAACTAGATTTGTATGTTGAATGTGTATTGATGTGTTTGTTTTAATACATTTTTTATCACATATGATGTTGCGTATAAGTCTACCATGATGAAAATGCTAGATACAGATCCTAGCATAAAAAGTCCAAGGTGTTATACAAAGACCGTGCTTTTGAAAATTTAGGTCCTAAACTTTTTAATGAATTACCTCTGTCTGTTCGTTCTAGTCCTTCAGTAGACATTTTTAAATCCAGACTGAAAACGCACTTATTTAAATGTGCTTTTAATATTTGACTGATTGTTTATTGTATCAGCGCCTTTGATCTTCATATGTTGGAATTGTTGCGCTTAATTAAATAAAGTTATTATTATTTATTATTATATAGAAAGATTTCAGCTTTTGCCAAAAGTAAAATATAGACTTTTTTTTTTCTGTAACCTGTTCTGATTCATTTTTGACATTGATTTTTTTAAAAACTGCAATGTCAGTCTAACTTTAAGGATGGAAAATATTTTTTTGACATGTTTAATGATGTATTAACCTTTTCACCACCAGTTCCTTCTCATTGCGCATTTGCAAAATAGTCCTGTTTATAGTCTGCACTTTCGTTCAGAAGATTGGGACAAAAATAGCCAAATTTACTAAAATTTGGCCCGTTAGCTCAAAAATTAGGGTTCATTTCCAGAAATATTGAAGAATACAAGAAAAGTGTTAAAAAAGGTTAAATGGCTTAAATGTTAGCATCTGAAAATGTCCCATTCTCTAACGCTGTTTGTTGTAATAGGTGGGTTTTTAGCTCCGCTGTCGACTTTGTCGAGCGGACCTTATCATATGAGTGATTGTCCGTCGTCGTCCGTGCCAATGTTTTACTTTTTCGACTTCTTCTTGAAAACTGCAAGCCTGAATGCTTTGATACTTGGTGTATATGTACCTTGGGTAGACCTCTCTCAGATTTGTTCATTTTATGATCATATCTTCAATTCTCTAATTTTGGTGAATATTTTTGTCATTTTTAGCTCCGCTGTCGACTTTGTCGAGCGGAGCTTATCATGTGAGTGATTGTCCGTCGGCGTCCGTGTCAATGTTTTACTTATTCGACTTCTTCTTGAAAACTACAAGCCTGAATGCTTTGATACTTGGTGTATATGTACCTTGGGTAGACCTCTCTCAGATTTGTTCATTTCATGTTGATATCTTTAATTTCCTAATTTTGGTGAATATTTTTGTAATTTTTTGTAAAAAGTGATATTTTCAACTTCTTGTTAAAAACCGCAAGTCCAATTGCTTTGATATTACATATATAGGTACTACACGTGGACCTCTCTCAGATTTGTTCATTTTGTAATAATATCTTAAATTCTCTAATTTGGGTGAATATTTTTGTCATTTTGGTAAAAGTGATATTTTCAACTTCTTGTTAAAAACCACAAGTCCAATTGCTTTGATATTACATATATAGGTACTACATGTGGACCTCTCTCAGATTTGTTCATTTTGTAATGATATCTTTAATTCTCTAATTTTGGTGTATATTTTTGTCATTTTTGGTAAAAAGTGATATTTTCTTGTTAAAAACCACAATCATTTATGGTGAAAAATTATATTTTTGAATTCTTGTTGAAAACAGCAAGTCCCATTTCATTGATACTGTGCATATTGTTCATTTTCTAAAGATATCTTCTGTTGTTTAATTGAAATGTGCATTGCTAACAGCGGAGCTATCTCAGCCGAGAGGCTGCTTGTTTTTTGTTTTTTTTATTGAATAACTTTCTTTAATGTTTTTTCGAAATTGAAATATAGAATCAAAACACATTATTTCAGTAAGTACCTGGCTTATGTCAAAATAGCTTGCACTTTAAATGAATGAATAAAAATGTTACCTGGGGCCAGTTTTCTGTGTAGATATTAACATCTGAATTTGGCCTTGCTGAGTAATCATTTTCTTTTTGTTTGATCAAAATAATTTAACAACAGCGAAAACAGCTATTTACCATGGTCTAACAAATTCATTAATACATTTTTATATCTTGGTGTACAGTGAAAATATTACCAATAACCTAACTGGCAGTCGCATGGCATGTGTTCATTACCATAGTGGGTATCAGCGTGTGTGATTCCACATGCCAATGAGACTCACAATTTGGTGTTTATCTACAGAGCAACTGATTTTATATGATTGCTCAGAAGCAGGTGTTTATTGTCATAGAAATAGAAACTGGAATTTCAATACAAAATGAAATTTCCTAAAATCGTCACTTAATTAATTCTTGTCTCTTGTTTCCATGGAATTTTTTCATATTATATTTGTCCCTTTGCTTTATTTTGAATTCCAAACATGTAAATTGAATAAATTGAATAAACATTGATTAAACCATGTGTAATTAGGAGCTAACTTGTTTGGCGGGGGCAGTTATTTCCCGATATATTGTTGAGTGCAAACAAAATAAATTTATTATAAGTCAGACTTTACGAAATTGAGATTAAGTTTTTCCAGAGAAAGTCTGAAACAAGGACTTGTGTTTTGGGGGTCTGTCCATCACCATTTTTTAGACATGCCTGACAAAATTAAGTCATGATGAACGTTAATTTAATGTTTGACTGACTGGCCGGCCATTTTTGTCCTGAGGAACACCCTAACCCAACCACTTCAGCATGTCTAGGCTGATTTCATTCAGACTAGGCATTGACATCACTTATAATGGGTTGCTAATGCATGTCATTATGTTTCATGGTTTGATTTCAATGACAATTTTAATATTTAGAAAACAAATTAATAATTTGTCTACTCTTTCTTGCTGGGCCTTGAATTTAAAATGTGGGCACTAGCATGTAATGTATACCTGTTGCTTCTAATATGAGCCAAGTATGCTTCCATCAATTTTACTTTTATCTCATCACAGCCACAAAACTGCTGGCTGTTATTTGTTTTTCACGGTAGGTCAGTTCGAAACCTTATTAATTTTAAATGGTTAGGGAGTTCAGTCAATAAATCGACGTATCAAGCCATGCTAGATTTTTTTTTTTTTTTTTTAGATCTTTGTACCTTCCAGCCTTTCAGATATTTGTACCTTCCAGCCTTTCAGATATTTTACAATAATGCTACCATCTGATCACGTTTGTTAGTTTTAGTTTTTACTTTAGATATAAAATATCTTTAATCTTTAGTGAAACATGTATTTACAATGTACAATAATTGATTTATTCAAGCTGTTGCGTGATCTGTAATGTTGACATACATTGGGGGCATTGTACTTCATTAGCTATTTCATACTATTAATTGTCATGCTTGCCGGGGGGAAAAGAAAAAAAAATTCCATACATGCAAGGTGCCATATTGGTTTGCTGGCTTGATTAAGGTCAAAGGTCGGTCCTTGTAAGCCTGGCTCTCTCAGCAGTTTAAAAAAAAAAAAAAGTGAACACATTTTAGGGGTCTCAGGTCGTGGGTATACAAACTGTTTCAGGAACATAAATAAAAAAAAAAGTTGTTTTTTTCCTTCTAAGTTTATGATAAATATTTGTCCGCTCTTTCAGCAGCAATACTGATTTTTTGTTTAGCTCTGCTGTTGAGTCGACAGAGTGGAACAGTTCATGTTACTGACTGTCATTCATAGACACTTTGAGTGGACCTTAGATTTGTTTATTTTGTGATGATACCTTTACTTTTCTAATTTTAGTGAATATTTTTGTCATTTTTGGTAAAAAGGGCTATTTTTGACTTCTTCTTTGAAATAATTAACCCAATTGCTTTGATATTCTATATGCAGACATCTTGTGTGGATCTTAGTCAGATTCTAAGTAAATTTTCTAATTTTAGTGATTATTTCTCATAAAAAGTGCTATTTTCAACTGTCTGACTACAATGTGTACAGCAAAGCTTGTATCAGCAGACAGGCTGCTTGTTAAATTTTTGACTTCTTAAAAACCGCAGGTGTGATTGCTTTGATATGTAATATATAGCCACATTTGGTGGTCCTTCTCAACATTTGTTGATTTCATGACGATATCTTTATTTATTTATACTCTTAAAATAAAAAAAAATATTTCTGATATCTTTTTGAAAACCACCTTGGATGGACCACGGTCAGATTGATTTGATTCATTCCTCGAACAGACTAATTCATTAAGAGTGGATAACAACAGTTTTAGTGAATATTCTTGTTATCTTGAAAATGGCTAGACTGATTGATTTGATAATCCTTTCTCATTCAGTGTCTGAAACAGTGGAGCTGTAGCAGCTGATATACTGTTTGTTTAACGCATGAAACGTACATTTTTTTTGGAGGGAGGGGGGGGGGGTACACATGGATTTATTTTGCCCTAACCAATAATTACACAGATTTGACTGAATTATTTGTTTCTGTTCTGCTTTTATTATCCCACATCTACAGTATTTCTAAGCGTTTTTTATTTAATAAGTTGAATGATTAAATAGTCTTGATTGAATTAAGCTTGAAGGGCAGTGGTTGTTTTTGTGTTGTTTGACGTGACTCCTGTACAACATACACAACACATATACATGCATTTTTTATTCTAACGTGAGGACCTCTACCCTTTAGTGTATAGCGACTGCGTCTGAATAAAACAAAAGATTGACTTCTTCGGCAATCACTTACATGTACCTTGACAACATAAGGCGCAGGTATATCAGTTGTAGGCTCAAAACCTTGACAGTCGAGCAGGCAAGAGTCACCTTGATCTCACCTTGCACATATGTGTATTTATTTCTAATAAAAACGCCACCTTCTTCTCTGAATTATATATATATATGTATATATATATCTATATATGTTTGTCTGGTTTGTTACATAGCTATGGTGGATCTGGAGGATGGAATCGGCAGTCACAGGGTCAGCAGCAGGCATACCAGCAGAATCAACAGCGATACCAGCAACCACAATATGGAGGATATGGGCATCAGTACCGACATCAGAATCAGTCACAGTCGCAGGGACATGGTAATCGTTTCGTAAGTTTAAACAGTTTTTTCTCATTTTCTTTTCATTTTTTTTTTATTTATTCATCAATCCAAATAAGTCGGGTGTCAATATTTTAATGCGTTACGACTTTTAAGCCAAAAAAACAGAAACACATCAACATCATAAATGCGATATTGCTGGGAAAATTTGTTTCAATTAATAATTTAAAAGCACAAGTTTATGAAAATAGCAGTAAAAATCATGTCCAAAATATGGTAATTTGAAGCTTCTTTCTTTGTGATCCACTAACCTACATCTTGCAATCCTCCCGCCTCATAATTCAGAAATCTCTTGAACTTGTTCCAGAATAGTATAGAGATTAATTCTATCTTGCATTAATATTTACATAATGTAATTGTATTAGAAAATAGTTTTCTAAAAGTTGTGGTTACTTCTTTCCTCCAATTATACAGACAGACAAACCTGTATTAACTTAATTTTGTTATTTGAAAAAATATTTAATAGTTGAAATGTGATTTATTCTTTTCTTTTTAAATTGACAGTGGATTTTTAAAATATTTTGTTCAACTGCTATGTACCAGTATATATTGTGATGTAGTTGAATCATCAATTCCTTTAAACTTTTTCAAAAAAAATCACGCAAATGCTGATGCTAAATTAATCAAAATTATGCTAATTAGGTTAAACATTACCTATACTATGGTTTAAGTATTTGTTCTCTCAAGACTGAATTTAAAATAAAATAAAAATACAATAATTGATGAGCATTCTCTGTTCTCTGTAGTATATAATGAGCTGTAATCAGGGCAGTCAACTCACAAAGAGATTGAATCATACTATTGTGAAAGTTGTGATACACATTGCTACAACGCAGTCGCTTATAAGTAGTCAACTCATTGCCCCGTCATGAACTTTATCATTGTCATCGTTGCGTCTGTTTGCTCGCTTTTCTCCACCCTTGGGTGTTCTCCTTTATTTTCTCGTTAAACAGCAACGTGAGTAATTTTTTCTTTCTTTAATGAAATCTTTTCAAGTGGTTGTGGTACGCAAGTTTTTTTACCCGAACTGTCCAATTTGGATTTAATTCTAGATCGCATAGCATTTCGTACAATGTCGTGTTATTTATTTATTTATTTATATTTGTACTGAACCCTTGAACAATAAAAGCCATCTCTGAAAACCGTTCTTTTTTTTTTTCAATCTCCTCTTTAAATATCAGCCAATTATTTCTCGATTTGGATTATTCTGTCTTGCATCAAATTGGATTTCCTCAATTGCCTTTGTATAATTTCTTGTCGTCTCCGCAGCCACTTAGGAGCAGGCACTCTTCGCATGTATCTGTCTCGGTGTCCAATTAACTCAAGGGTACCTAACTAGCCCCTACATACACATGTATGCAAAGCCAGAATATTTAATCTACTTTTTACGATAATACACAATGATACACGGGTACTAGATACCATTTTGTTTTGTTCTCTGAATTGATGGATTGCTGCCTTTTCAGCCTTTTTTTTTTTTTTTTTTTTTTTTTTTCCTCTTTTCGTCTTCATCTTTGTAGTTGTCATACCAAGATTAGGTAACCTGAGTGGGAATCGGGAAACAAACAGCCCAGCCCTCTTTAACTGGTTAACAAAACACTTGCCTATTCAGTGGGTATTCAATGCCATGTGCAAGGTTCCTTAACGACTCTGTATCTTTTTCTCGTTATTCACTAGTGCACTGCCTCTTATCCACCAATAGTGAATCGTTTTACTCCCCTTCTATTCGTCGTAAACACGATAGTTTTATCGTTCTTATCACAGAAGAACCCTTCTGAAATCATCGACACAATGCATCCAGTCGTCTTGTCTCTCTATTACCTATTTATGTCATTTCCATAAGTTCGATTCAGCGCATTGTGCTGTACACTTCCTGCAATTGCTTCGCTAATTCAGCCAGGCATCGGCAGTCCACACAAAAGCCCCCCTTCCTCACATGTAATTAGCAACATGGAGGAAAAAAAGAAAGAAAAAAAAATGTATATAATTCATAAACTAAACGAAAAGCATTCTTTCTCTTTCGCACCTGCGAGGCTTCAATAATTCAGCAGCAAGAAATTGACACTGCTCTCCCCCAATTACTTTAACAGTACAGTTTTCTTTTCTTTCTTTATTCCTTTTTTTTTTTTCCCTGTCGCAACCTGGAAGCGCGCTCTCAGATTTTATGTTCCGGTCATGCCTTTGCCCCGGCGAGCACGGGGTTGTCTAAATTTCCTGTTCTAAATTACCACCTGGCAACTCTTTATTTGAATGTGCCTTGAAAAGAACTTCCTTCACCGGCCTGACAAGAGAATTAACTTGCAAAAAAATAAATAAAAAGAGGATGGATCAGTCGCTCCGGTGTGTCGTTTCCGTGTGCCTTCCTGGTGTATAGGGTTCAGTATTTCTTTTCATCTTGTAGACAATGAAAATGATTAAGTTTAGGTGTTAAAATATATTATACTATTTGCTAGGTCTCTGAACGCCTTCAGGGCAGAACCATCCAGTATTTTCTAAGCATTTGGGTTGGCACCACATTCCAGCAGATTTCAAATTTTACTAAATTATTGATTATTACTAAAAGTGTGAAAATTCTGGTTAAAAATATTTTTTATATAAATGATTGTTAGTCAGGGAGTACATTACACATACCACTCCACAACGAATGTAAATAGTTGTTAATATTTTATGGGCTAATTTATACTTTTATTCCGGCTAGAAAATTGTAGTTATTAAGTTCCTAACACTTGTTTTGACTGCAAGTTAATTTGGAAATCATTGCGTGTGCTCTGACCAATACTCCATGGAGTTCTGACAAAGGCAGAAAGATTTATTTTCTTCTCCATTGTTAATTCTAATTTGTTTGGTTTTTTAACCTTGACCTTGTAAGCTCACTGCCCATATCTGAGTCGGGATCTGTGGATTGGACTTGTCATCATAATTTTTCCTCCAACTTGTCAGTTTTTATGTCTGTGCACTCTTTGTTCAATCCTAACACTCCCGTTTAATTGCCGTGTTGGTTTTTCTCCAGTTTTGTTGACACGGTTACAAGTCAACTTAACATGACTTTTACTTAGCCCGGTACCACTGTGTGTGTGTGTGTGTGTGTGTGTGTGTGTGTGTGTATTTCTGTTTGCTTGTGTGTGTTTTACTTTCTCAAGTAACTGACTAGGCAGTGTTGACTCTCCCGTAAAATCACAGCAAGCGGAACTACCTACGTCGTTGGTTGGGTTGGCTCGTAAATACCTTAGAATAGCATAAACCGCTGTTAGCATTAACAGGTGGCTACACATTCCATAATCTCTTATCACCGTGGTGTTATCAGCTCAATAAAAATAAAAACTACCGCACACCGCAAATGACACGACCAAGGCATGCATTACCATTATTTATAAATCAGTCATAACTTAGAAATTAGCCCAAAATGATTCTGATTCTGAAGTCTGCAACTAGTAAATCTAATTATACTACGCATTATCACTAAACAAAACACAATCAGCATTATAATTATTATTTAATGAATGCTGACAATACATTGTAGTTTTTATATTTTCATTCTCACTGTCATTTTTAATTGGGGATTCTTTCAAAATAATTATTTCAAATCATTTAAATTTGATGTCAAGAATGAATATTATCACAAGCGTACGGCTGAAAAAAAAAATGCTCATTCTCAGCGTGATGTCTTGTTCGTTTCAAATTAACACCAATTTGATTAACTAAAGTGGCATTGTTCTTTCATTCATTTCGCTTATTTCATTTGCACTTAGCAAACTTCGCTGCTTTTGTTTATCAATTCTTCTTAATTTGCTCTTGTGTGCATACAAATAGCGCGTCTTTCTTCTTCGTCGGTGTATAAATGGATTTTGCTTGTAATCGCTGCAAAGTTGGCTTTGACCCCTGCACACTGACATGACACTCACTACATTGGTTGCAAAGAAACAAGAGTGGCACTCACTTCATTTGAACACTACTCTGTGTCTGTAAATTAGCCAAATGAATGAGTTAACAGGTTTCGAATCAACAGTAAATTCACCCTTCACCTGGCAGTATGCAAAGGAAAAACAAAAAAAGAATCCTTGTTTAGTTTTTATTTATGATTTTTTGTTTTGTTTAAACCCCTCAGGTGTAATATACATGTATTCACAGTTGTTGATGTTTTGTTTTTATTATTTCTATATTTCCGTTTCGCACTTTATTCGTTAAACTGTATTGATATATTTGAATCATGATAAAACTCTTGAAGTAGAACGCTTTGCTTTAACGGTGATTGCATGTCAGAGTCACAAGACTTAATTTTGGTAATAAATGCTTTATTTCCAGGTGTGACATGCAACATGCATTGGGGCCCAGTTTACATGTCGCTGTCTGCTATAAGTGCTGTACATCTCTATTGTGTGAGATGATTTAATTGATGCCTTGTGCAAGCTACATAACTCGTTGACTAGGTTCCCGATATTATGTGCATGTCCTGTGCCTATTAACTTGCCGTCTCTGAGTGTTTATGCTTTGTACGTACGCCTCTTATCTCCAGATTGATTTGCTTGTTTTCCAAATTACAGCACGGCACAACTGGCAATCTTGCCACACGTCAATCATTATCCACTGTGTATTTTTCCTTTTGTTTGTGACTGCCATCAATTTTTTTTATGTGTATGTGTGTGCGATCGTTTAACTTGTTATTTTTTTCTGTTTAATTATTCAGAATCAAAACGCTCCCGGTCGAAACTACCCGACACCACCAAAATATTCGCAGCGTCGTTACTAGTCTGATGTTTTGACCTCAAGATTTTTCTCCCTTACCTGTTGCCTATTATCTCTACATTTCATCTGACTGATTTGGATATTTGTATATTGAGTTTATTCTACTAGTTATGAACACTACAGCTGACAGCAGAGTGTATGATGGACACTACTTAAAACCTCCCCTGTCTACTTGGACCAGCGAGAGAGAAAAAAAATCCTAATGGCTCATTCAGTGCCACTTCACCTACTGTGTTGAAAATCATACATACATCTCAATTCCAGAATGGAGACGATGCCGTCATAGTGATGACGAGATGTTCACTGATAACCTTTTTCTATATTGATACTATACTATTATGAGAGCGTGGGTCGAACGATATCTTCTACTCCATCGCTAACTGTCTATGGCATGTCTGGTCATTGACGCAACACTTCAGCCAACTTGAAGAAGTGTTAAAGAGAACAAAATAAAGCAGAGACCCATATTTCAGCTGTCTCCAGGTATCGGGGCCACTAGTATTGCTATCAGCAGTGTATTTTATCCTCCGTAATGTTAGAGCCCTTACGAAAAAAAAAAAAAAAAAAAAAAAATACTAATAACCCTTCAAATCCATTTTCTACCTCCTTTGGCCCTGATACCTGTAGGCTGACCTGACCTCATAAAGTATTTGTTGTCAAGTAAATGTAACCTGTCAAAATTCCGCTTCCTCTTGGCGTGAGTCACGCCATCTAGTCAGAAACTAATCCTGACTGAGAATTGAGAGTAATTTCACTGCCCCAAATTCTCTATTATATTTGTTTTCTCATGAAATAATCCTAATTATTGTATGTGGTAAATATTAATAATTCTTTGTATTCTAATTAAATATTTTTTTTTTTTTTGTTAATTGAGAAACATTATTGGGGAGGGGGGTGGGGGGTTGTTTCTTATAAATTTCCTTCTTTTTTTTTTTCAAAGCAGCAAACCATGTGAAGTATATGAACAAACAAGTTTTTTTTTATTTCGTTATTTCATTTAGAAAATGTCGCAAATGTTCTGTTTTTTTTTTGAACATCCAGTATTTTTTGCTCCAACTGGAAAATATTTTTTAATAGCAATCAATCCTTCTGACATTTTTAAAATGATTCTTCATTCTTACCACTGAAACTTTGTATTATCCGAATAATGTGATTGTTGTGTCTGTAATAGTTTTATTGATAGGTCGAGGAGATGGTCAATTAAAAAAAAAGAGAGAAAAACAAATAAAGTATTAAACAATGAAACTGTTCTGTTTTATTAGTTTTTTTTATAAATTTCCTGGTTGTATTTATTATGATCAATTAACAACTTGCTTCTCCGTAAATATTGTTGTGTCGTAATGATGCATACTATAATACTGTGTAGTTATCTTAATAATAAACAAGTTATTCAGCAATGATTTCTCGGTGTTCCAACTTGAACTTCTACAGCATGTTGATCAGATCAAATGCGAACATGTACAGACGACACAAAAATTGTTTTCATTGCTAACATTATTGTAGATTTTGAGTGAACTTCAAGTTTACTTCTGCTTTTTCTGCTCCTGGGAATTAACATTTTCTTTGCCCATTTTTGGCATGCATGTTCAATGTACATAAGAGGAGATTTTGCAGTTTATGGATTTCACTGAAACTTGGTACATGGATGCTCTGGGACAATGCATAGACCTGATTAGTTTTCAGTCAAAATTTGTCTTAGCTAATTCACATAATAATTAGCCATTTTTCAGCTTTACCACCGATGTCTCAAAAACTAATCATTGCATTTCAATGAAATTTGTTACATTGTTAGTTTTCGATTTTAATTTGGTACATATTAATTACCTTTGCATTAATAATCAGTCATTTTCAGCTTCCCATCATTATCTAAAAACATTTCAATGAAACTTGATACATAGTTCATCAAATAAAATAAACATTGGTATATGTAGATGCTTTTGGATAATCCACAAATCTGATTATTTTGTGGCTGAAATCCAAGCATGTTAATTACCTACTTTGTATGAGTGGGGTCATGTGACTTCATTAATATGCATAAATGTTATATTCCAAACACGGTTGTAAAGACTTGCAACTAGCGTTAAAATGGAGGCATTTGACAAGAGATGCGACAAACATCAGACAACCATATTTGGACACGTGACCTAATTAATATGCATAACTATAATGTATTAAGCACTGGTGCAGATAGTGACATACAATCAGTGTTATAATGAAGGCATTGCACAAGATATATGACTAAGATATGTCCATATATGATCTTGTGACCTTATACATAATTTTAATATCTATGGCACTGTTGTAGTCAGGAAAATGCATTCGGTGCAATATTGAAGGGTAAATTCGAATGAGAGATATGACTAATGTAATGTGATCTCAATAATACGCAAACCTGTAATTTAAGTACTGTTACAGATGGACATCATTCAACTAGTTCTATAATTTTGTTGTCAGACAAGATATATGATCAAAATATCAAGACATTGTATAAATACTCATGACTTGTTAAACCATAACCACTTGGAACCACCTGATCAGTGTTTGCAGTTATATTTTTATATTCTGAAGCACATGTGCTGAAAGTCTATGGTAAAATAAAGACGTATTGCAATGCTTTCTACATGCAATGAATGCCATTTGTGCAAAAGGTTTAAATTAACCCCAATCTTCCAATGTACTTTTATATTGACCATATAAGGAATATGTGGGCTCATAGGTGTTCTAGGTTAATTCTGTTCTTTATTTTTTTTTTTGCTTCAATGAGAGTTTTCTGTTAGTATTATAACATTCAATACTGTCCTGCAAGTAAAAATTATACCAGGCAACAAATGCATTATTGATTTGTATCCATCCAGAATTCTTATTCATTATGTAATATCTAGATTCCCAGTGGATAAAGTTATTGTCAGTTACACTGAATTTTTAAACTCAAAATTGTTCTTTTCTATATTCCAAAGCCAGAAGAAGCAAGCTTTGCGTTTACTTATTTGTCTGTCTTGGTTTCTCAAGAACCACTTGTTGGATTTCACGTAAACTCGTACTTGTGTTATCAGATAATCAGCTGGCTCCATTAAATTTTACATATGAACGTGGAAATTAATTTTCATTTGAAGTGGGGGGGGGGGGGTCCCGTGATCTAAAGGAACCAGTGAATTAACTGTGATACTACTATTTAGATGCTTACATTACTATATCGCCTATCAATACATATATCATATTTTTTATAGCCAAATACCTCTACCGAGGAGGGCATTAGGTGGTTTCTGGATGAAATATTGTGTTGTACTGGTGGCATTATTCACTGATTATTGGCTATTGACGTTTTGTGATATCTTTCACCCACGTGGCTTTAGCAAGTATGCATCGATCGCTAACTGTCGCACCAGTTGCCCTGGTCGTTTAGAGACCAATGCTTTAATATTTGGAGATTATCAAGGCTGTTCTTGACGAACACTTTGCTTCATTGCCGGTGCCTATTATCACATTCTTTCATACTGTGTATATGCTTCTGAACTAAGGAGGGGTTGCAAAGACAACTAAATCAATTCGTCTCTACTGGAGTTTGCTCTATGAAAATGCTGCCTACACCCAATAATGCACACCAATGTGTTAGTTGCTGCAAGAAACTACCATGAACTACAATGGTTTTGTATGTGTCATCCATACTGTCGCTTTGATTCAATACATTCTAGAAAAAGGAACTTAGGACCAAGATACCCGATCCTGATCTGAGGACCCTCTCTATGCTGATGACGCTCTCATTTGTTGAGTTGAACGTTTTATGATTTTATCAATTATAAGCCCCCTCTCTCTGATATTCCAGCCCCAAGCACATTTGTCGCACAAACCACCTTCGATAAAAACTAACATTACAGAACTTACCGACTCTCACCATCTCTTACTGACCCTGGCCCCACACATCCCTGTCTCATTTCAAGTCAACACTCTTACTTAATTCACCATTTGACTGGAAGTCTTTCAATCATTAAGAAATGTTGGTCTGTAAAGCGATACACCTTATCTCATTTCTTGAATGGTTTGATATTGGTATTGAGTCATGTTGTCACCTGTTCACTGCCCATGCTTCAACACAGTGATTTGTCTGTGGCTTGCTGTGTTACCACGACTGTCTTGGATCAATTATTATTGGCATTCCATCCATCCACAACTCATCTTTGTTGTCATGCTGTCTGGGCATCCTCCGTTAGATAGTTCTGTTGGTGTTGACTTGTCATATACATACATCTACTTCATTTGATGGCGAGATAAAAAAAAAGCTGCACTGAAGTTCTAGGTAGAATCTACCAAGTATGCGCATAGACTGAATGCATACAAAATAATACAACAGTCACATCTAAGGCAATACCTACCCAGACATATAAACAGACAAATATCAAGACCCAGACTAATAGACAGGTGTAACAAGAATACAAACAAAAGCTAACTATGGACACAAGGAATCACACACGGATTCTGTTTTTTTACTCTAGTGTATCACCTCTCCCTTCCTCCACTGAACAACTTAATGGCTAATGCAGGGATTCAAAATACCGTTTGTCTCTCAGCCTCTTTTTACAATGACAATTTCGTTCATTCAATTGTCAGGACATCCGAAGAAGGTATGTGTGATTCTGACAGCCTTTTGGCGCAGGGGAGATGTGCATATTGACACGTGGTCCAGTGCTCATCTGTTCCTTGTTTCCAAGGCACCAGACGACCAACTGGTTCGTCGTCCGTCAGTTACAGCAGGAGTTGTAAAATCATCTATACTATACACTATCACTCTTACAGTCACTGTGGTTTCTAGTTAATGTCGAGAAGTTTCAATTTTAGCTGCCCAATGTTTGGTAATGCATGGGGATGAATTTTTACAAATTTGTAACAACTATTTCACATTCAATATTAAAGTTACATTAACATTCAATAATCAACCAATAAACGATACAAGTACAAAACAAATGTTGTACTTGTTTAAGGCAGAATTGGTTCAGAATCCTCCTGAAAAATGGACAAAATATACCTCATGTACTTAAATCATTAAACAATAATCACAAAGAGTCATTTATGATAAACGCGATATATTCTTTTGGTTTGTCTTGATATAATTTTTTTTATCTTCTATATTTTCAAGATATTGCTGAACCTGTAGCTTATGATGAAGTATGTGACAGTTATCGTTTCTCAGATGTACGTGTAACTGTTTTGTTTTTCGGAAGTAATGTAAATATGGTAATAGAAGATCACAGAATGCAGCATAAACATGTAGACAATCATATCACGGACATAAATACATTTGCTCACTGTTGATTAAAAGTGATATATATATATATTTCTCAAAAGATGAAAACCTACGAGGTTTAAACAACCATTTCCTGCGTTAATAATCAATCTGGAGACATATTCAATTGACGTACGTGCAGTCCGTTATGTTAAACCAAAGGGCAATTATCATCATTATACATAATTAGGTAGAATTGTGAGCAATAAAAAAAAACACTTATACACACAAACTACAAATGAATTTACAAACAATGGTAGAAAAGTACTGCAGTGTAACACCACAATACAGAATGCTTATCCATCAATGAAAGTACAATATGTTAGTACAATAATAATAGTATTTTTATGCGCTGCTGTCGTAATTGTAATCGAATCTCATTCGACAAAATTGTATACTGTTACTGCAACAAAAAATTTAACGGTTTGAAAACAATTAGACGCGAACATTGTTTACTTATAGAAACCACCACATTTGGAACAACCAAAAGTAACAGACAGAGACATATCTCTAACATTTATTAGAGCGAGATGGACATTAAAAGCTTATGTGTATGTTATTATATTCGATGTAATGTGAATAGTGCATTTGTATGTGATGTGTAATGTGTGACGATAACTGCGGTATTTCGATTTTACTGACAATTTGGGTTTAAATGTTT